AGCTGGGCGGAGAGTAGGCGGGTGGTTTGGGGGGGGGGGGGGGGGGGGTCGTGTCGTACCGAACTGCTGAGCAGGCGGAGCCGCTCAGCCTGGCCAGATATATAAGGCGCTTCCCCGGAGGCGCTGCGGCTGAGACAGTGCGGTGGCGGCGGAATTGCCCGGTCCCGCCTTAAGGAGGGGTGGTCGCCTGGGCCCTGCAGGTATGCGTCTCATGTTTGTCAGGGGTGGGGTAAAATGCAACGCGGCTGTTCCGGGGGGGATTGCTAAGACTACTGCAAAAAGATAGGCGCGACTGACCAGTGGGCTGCGGACCTCCATGAAACCCTGGGCGGGCGTCTGGGTGACTTGTGGCTCTTTTCATTTCTCCACCCTACCCCCGTCTCTTTTCGTGCCCTCGCAAAGCGGTCTAGTGATCCTGTATCCTCCCTTTCCTTGCCTCCTAACGCTCCCCTTCCTCCGTCTCGGTGGCTCAGGAGTGTACATAGTAAAGCCCCGGGGTGCCTCATCATGCCTCCTCCTTCTCCTTGCTGTGCCGTGTCATCTCCGCCGCTCTGGCGAACTGCCTCTAGTCTCGAGTCCTCTGTTGCCATGAGAGTGGGGTGTGCCCCTTCGCCGGTGTTGAGGCTGGCGTGTTGTTCGTGGTATCAGGATGTGACTGGCATTTTTGGCTTCCTGTAGTGGGTCAGCACTGGAAGTAAGCACAGCTACGCCACAAGAGCAGCCCTCATTTTCTGAACTGGGCAGGGGTCAGGTACAAGTGCTCCAGGCAGCAGAGTGAGTATTTTGTAGGAGGGCCTCAGTCCAGAGTCTGGATGCATGCGTGTTGCGCGTGCACGTGTATCATCCAGTAAATGTGCCTTTCTGTACATCTGTTCTTGTCCTTGTTCTAAAAGTACCTCTGAGCTGTAACCTAATATTTAAACATGTTTGGGACCTCTGGATTCCAGAGAGGCTATGTGCTGTATTGCTTCTGGAGGCGAGGTCTGCAATGGCAATTTTCAGCTCTGTGGAACATGCCTGTTTCTTTATCTGGTACCTGGCTTCATTAAGAGTTGTAGTCTTGATGAGACTTCTTGAAAACCGTGGCTTCAGTAAATGTATGTGTGCAATACTGATGTGTGAGAGACTGGTAAAAGGTCAGTTTATGAATGTTCATCAAAAGAATGCCCCAACCTATCAGGTATGATGGCTAAACAGAGCTTCCATGTTCAGTTACAGTATACCTCTAAGGGATAGATGCTGGAGACTTAGAATGAGGCAGAACAGTTGCCTTCACTCCTGGAAACACGATGCTGGACTACATGGAGATTTGTTATGAACCAGGAGGAGGCCTTCTTTTATATTCTTATAATTGCCTTAAAATTGTGCCAGTCTCCAGTTTTCTTTTGAATGTATGCTTTAAACAAGAATAGCTCATAAGCCAGTGTTCCCTCTAAGCTGAATTAGTGTGAGGTAGCTCACAGTTTTTTAGCTTGCAGCTCACACATTTTTGTCTTAGCTCAGGAAGGATGGCTGCAGAGCAAACTAATTTATGCAGTAGCCAAACTGCTTGCTCACAACTTTAATGCTAGTAGCTCACAAAGTAGAATTTTTGCTCACAAGACTCCACAGCTTAGAGGGAACATTGCAAAATTTCCTTCATTTATATCCCACCTTTCTCCCCAAAGTGGCTTACATCATTCTCTCATCCTCCAGTTATTCTCACAACAGCCTTGTGAGGTAGGGTACGCTGAGTATGTGTGACTGGCCCAAGGTCACCCAGCAAGCTTCAGTGGCAGAGCGGAGATTTGAACCTGGGTCATCCCAGGTCCTAGTCTGTCACTCTAACCACTGCACCACACTGGGTCTCAGATCAAAACCTTTGCTCTTTGCTTCATTATCATAGGTAGACAGCACCTGCCATTAGTATGGAAAGACAGTCCAAGCAAGGGCAGGAGATGGCTCCAGATATATCTTGACTTAATTTCCTTCAGAGGTATTGTAGCTTGCATAGGGTTTACATCTGACTAGATTAATTTCTGTTTAAAGGACTTGTTTGGAGGGAGGTTAAAAGTTTCCCAAGGAGTAGGGGCATTACTGTAGCATTTCCCTGCTGGGATTGGCTATTTATTGCTCAGCCAGCTCTTTTCCTTCCTTGTGGTCTTCCAGCTGAATCCACAAAACAATCTTGGTCATCATCTGGAGACATGCAGGCAAGGGTCAAAAAAGAGGAGAAAGGGAGCCTGGCTAGTCTTTGCTTATCCCCCCCCCCACACACACACACACACTTCCCCCATGCAGATCTCTGATGACTGTTTGTAGTTGTTAATATGGCAGCATCATGGGGAGTAACTTGGGAAGAGTTACTGTGGAAAGTTTCTCACTCTGTATATTTGCTGCCTCTCCATGCTATAAAGAGCTGTGCCTCTGATTTCCATTGTGTCAGTGTGTGTCTCCGGCCCATGCACCTTTATTTGTTTCACATGAATGAATGTTCTCAATGTGTTTTCAGTGTTGCAGAAGAGTTAGCGACCCTTCGTCAGAGAAGTCAGTTGACTTGCAAAGGGCAGGTGTGGAAATGTTTCTAAAGGGACGGTAGGCTCTAGGCCTTGCTGTGCCATAGTGTCTGCACCATTTATGTAGTTCCTTGCCGCTGTTGAGTTTAGTTGCTGCGGAGTGCCCGTTCTTTCCTATTTCCTATCTCGGTTCTGCCCTGCTACATCTTCCATCATTCCAGTCCTTCTTACAAATTCAGTCACTTCCTGGAATTGTCTCTCAATGCGTGTAGGTTTGTGGTCAGACTAAGTTGGCTCCTGCATTGCCTAGCATCTGGGAAGGTGATAACTAGGCAAGCATTTACTATGTGGGCTTGGTATAGGGCCATTGTTGTACTCACTGGTGCTTCCCTAATTTTGGCCTGCGCTCTGTTGTTCCTTCTCCATGCCTGAGGGCCTTGATTTGTTCCAGACTCAACTCATTTCCCACAGAGTCAGCTGGGATGGGAGGGGCAGTGTTGCCCCATTCCTATAGCTGCTTAAAGGTCACACAGTGTAGCCTGGGAACTCTCTGCTTTGTGATACCAGCATGCCTCCAGTATCCATGCTGGCACTGCTTGGCTGCTGCTGCTGCTGCAGTTTGTAGATACGGCTGGGAGGGATCTCTGTTGAGAAAGTGACTCCCAAGTGAGCTCCTGTTGTGAGAGCAGAGGCCCAAAGCACTCCTGCAGCCCATGGCACGGAGGCTCTGTTCAGGCATGTTATTCCGACTCAGAGCCTTGGGAGGAGGTGGGAGAAATCAAAGCTCTAGCCTCTTCCTAGCAGAGTACATTCCTCTGCCATTCCCATGGAGAAAAAGCATTAAGCTGTTGCTGCTGGAATCCCCCAGACTGAAGTGTCCCAGCCTACCAGGGAGGGGTATGCTGGCGGGTAGTGAGGGGTCTCTTCTGGAGTGGAAGCACTACATTTCCCATACTAGTTTGCAAGAGAGAGAGAGAAGCATTTCTGTTCTCTTGCTGTAGCCTTCTCACCCACTGTGGGTGGGGAGGGGTGGCCTAGATTGCCCAAAAGAACACTGTGTTTCTGCGTTGTGCATGTTTTCTCCCCTTCTGTATTTTTCCTCCTGGCTCCTTGAGTACTCCCTGCCAGGAAGCGTTTGACGTTTGCAGCAGTCATTTGCATCTCTCCCAATCATGATGAGCAACCAGTGGAATATGACAGGGTCGTCTTGCATGCCTTATATAGACAACAAACTGCCTGGGGAGGCTGTGGGAGGGGGAAGGGAGTGCTTGGCCTCTGGATGCTGTCTTGCCTGCTTGCTATAGATTGGGGGTGCTTTGACTAGCACACTCCCGAAGTAGCAAGGTGTGTTGTGGGCCATCGTTTCCTGACCAGTCAGGAGAATCAGGTCCAGGTCCAGAGCCACTTTGGTTTAGTGGTTCAGAGCAGTGGGCAGACTCTGATCTGGAGAACCGGGTTTGATTCCCCACTCCTCCACATGCAGCCAGCTAGGTGACCTTGGGTCAGTCACAGTTCTCTCAGAGCTGTTCTCTCAAGAGCAGTTCCCTCAGCCCTCTCTCAGCCCTGCCTAGAGATGTGAAGGCCCGGAAAAATTAGGAAAAAACCCATTTTTTTCCCCTGAAGCCTTTTTGTTTTTCTCCGGAAAATTGGAAAAATTGAAAAAAGAAAGGAACAAAAATTGATTATGGAATGTTTTATTTTAACATGATGAATAAAATATTTTAAGACAAGGTGTTCAAATATTTTCCAAATCATTTCTAAAATATATATATATGGTATCAGATTGATCTAATTTCTGTGCACTGAGGACAAGCAAGTCCTAGGTTACAAACTGAACTCTCCAATGCAAGAACAAGATGCATTTCTTCCTTTAGAAGGTGCAATTGTCAGAAGAAAATAAAGTTTCAGTTTTGTTTTTGCATGTGGATGGGTATTCTGTTTGTAATAATTGTTTGGATACACTATATTTTTAATATGCTAGTTGTGATAATTTCATGCCAAGTAAAAAAGTCCATAGTCATATTTTGTATTCCTAAAGTAACAAAATGACTTTCAATCTAGAAAAGACAAAAGAAATGCTAATGTAGCATTTCCCCCCAAAAATTTCAGTTTTTTCCCGAAACCGGAAAAAAACCGGGTTTTTTCCCGAGCTTCAGAATTTCCGGAAATTTTACATCTCTAGCCCTGCCTACCTCACAGGGTGTCTGTTGTGTAGAGAGGAAGAGAAGGAGATTGTAAGCTGCTCGGAGACTCTGAGTGAAGGGTGGGGTATAAATCTAGTCTCTTTTTCTTCTTTCCTGTTGTCCTTTTCCTTGGCCAGCAGCCGTCTAAAGCACAGGCTATGGGAACAGAGCAGATCCTCTCCACTTCGCAACCCTAGCTGTGTGTGAGCACGCATCCTCAAGGTTACGATCATACTCCCAAGTCAGAATCTTATCTGCCACCTGTGGGAGTGCAATCCATTAAAAATGGTAATGATTTGACTTTATAACCTCTTTGAGGTAGGGTTCATTGTCATGAGCCAGGCTTTTGCCATCTGTGGTGTGTATACATGAAGCAACAGTTTCCAAGTCCTGGCAGCCATGGATTTTGTGAACAGATTTGGGGCCTAAATAGATGAGACGTAGGGAGACTGGGTCTTCCTGGCATTTTAAAAAAGTCAGTAGTAGCAGCTGTGCAGAACCTCAGTTCAGATCAGAGCTGTAGTGTGGGAGAAGGAGGGGGGTTTAAACCCTTTCACTTTGCCAATTACAGCAGGCTCCTTGTCTCTCTCCCCTATCCCGTTGTTAACTCTGTGTGGCCCTGCCAGGGACGGGGGTGTAGGATCGGGACTTTATAAGAGTCTTCCATGGAAGGCGGAGACTCATCCAGACTTGATGGTGCTCATTATGGTTCCCTTTGTTGCCATGAACCAAGTCCAAACAGGTCTCCACATGAGCGCTGTTCCCTTCACTCACCCATTCTCCCTCTTTAAAACCTTAAGGGGGCTGAGCCGTGCCTCTGTCGTGGCTTGATTCCATCAGGCCTGACCGGGTCTTGTTGTCTCATCTTGCCCAAGGCCACAGCTCCTCTTCTAGGCTCCCCTTCCTCCCTTCTCTGCACCTTCTCAGCCTTTCCCAGACAACTTGCCATTCTCTTTGTCTCTGCCCCTTCCTCCCTCGACATTTCCCTGGAGCTCCACCCATGCTGCTCAAACCCTGCACTGCTCCTCCATTCTCTGAGCTCTGTTCGTCTCTTAACTCCGTCCTTGCCTTGTCCCACCCAGGGTGGGTTTGCATAGACCTAGCCAGAGGCCCTTACTGCCAGCCTTGCTGTCGGCCAAAGCATTTAGCTGGCAATGCTCCTACCCTTGCTGCTGTACTCAGCAGGTGATTGGTGGGGGGAGGCTCTCCTGCAGATGGCACACCCCGACTCCCGCTGGGGCCACTGTACTGCTGTCCCAGGTGGTACCTCACCCTCTCCTGGATAGCCCAGGATAACCTTATCTCTTCAGATCTTGGAAGGTAAGCAGGGCCGGCCCTGGCTAGTATTTGGATGGATGACCTCCAAGGAATACCAGCGGCATGACGCAGAGGCAGGCAATGGCAAACCCCCTCTGAAACATCTCTTGCCTTAAAACAAGGCTAGCTCATGACCTAATAGTGCATAATGCTAAAAGAACTAGAACTTTCTCAGCCTTTCCCAGACAACTTGCCATTCTCTTTGTCTCTGCCCCTTCCTCCCTCGACATTTCCCTGGAGCTCCACCCATGCTGCTCAAACCCTGCACTGCCACTGCTCCTCCATTCTCTGAGCTGTTTTCGTCTCTTAACTCCGTCCTTGCCTTGTCCCACCCAGGGTGGGGTTGCATAGACCTAGCCAGATACCCTTACTGCCAGCCTTGCCCTCGGCCAAAGCATTTAGCTGGCAATGTTCCTACCCTTGCTGCTGTACTCAGCAAGTGATTGGTGGGGGAGGCTCTCCTGCAGATGGCACACCCCGACTCCCGCTGGGGCCACTGTACTGCTGTCCCAGGTGGTACCTCACCCTCTCCTGGATAGCCCAGGATAACCTTATCTCTTCAGATCTTGGAAGGTAAGCAGGGCCGGCCCTGGCTAGTATTTGGATGGATGACCTCCAAGGAATACCAGCGGCATGACGCAGAGGCAGGCAATGGCAAACCCCCTCTGAAACATCTCTTGCCTTAAAACAAGGCTAGCTCATGACCTAATAGTGCATAATGCTAAAAGAACTAGAACTTCTGGCTGCCAGACAATCTTAGGATCTTCTGGCTATACTACATACAAGGACATATGGTAATTATTACTTATTATTAGGTGGTACCCTAACCTGTCCTAGAGCAGCTCCTGCCTTAGTCCTGGTTGGTTGGGCCTCCACTGGCCTCTGCTGCCGCCTCTGTGCCATATATCCCCCCACACACATCAAGAAAGGATGGCCCCTTGTCTGACAGAGGCCATCCTTCCTGGCGGGGAAAAATCTGCATTTCTCATGCTGCAATTCCTTTCAATGAATTACTGTAAAGACATAGGGTTACAGGGCCAAGTAGCATTGAGTAAACTAAGGATTGCTGCCTTTCATATATTGCAGCCACTGCAGAGGGACATGATAGGTTACTACCGGGGGGGGGGTACCATTCACAATAATATCTAGGAGAAACTATTGCCCACTTAATAGTCAGGACTTCCCACTTGACCACCTAGTATGTCTGCTCATGAAGCAAAAAAGTTTCTTACTTAAGTAGACCATGGGTAAACAGATGGTAATAACTGGCTAGCCATAAGAATTGTTGTTGCTCTCTGTCTGTCTGAAGTGGGGGCAAGGCCTCCAGAGTGGTGACCTTGCGGTAGACTGCGCAAACCTCTCCATTCAGCCAGAGGCCTATGTACTACACCTCCTGCTGGGCTGCATAACATTTCTCAGGGTTGGCTGTTAGCTCTGCAGCCCACAACACCTCTAGGACCTGTTGCAGGTGTCCCAGGTGGTGTTGCCAAAAACTACTATACATGATGATGCCATTGATACAAACAGCTGTGAATTCATCCAACCCAGTGACCACATTGTCCATTAGCTGTTAAAAGGTAGCAGCCGCCCCATGCAGCCCGTATGGCATGTGGTTGAAGTGGTCTGTGTATTCGGGAGAAGGGAAATCTGCTTTCTCACAGTTCTCTGGGGCCAGAAGGATCTGCTAGTATCTTTTTGTAAGATCAAGTATCTAGGCATGGTCTAGGAGGGTGTCCACCCTGGGCCTAGGATATGCATCAAATTTAGACAAAGCATTCATTTGTCTGAAGTCAGTACGAATGTGTACCAACCCATCTGGCTTGGGAACTAGTACTGGCAGGCTTCTCAATCATACCTAAATATAACATCTCTCATCTCTTCCTGCAACACCCTCCCCATCCACATGGGCTAGGGCTGAGATCCAGCCCTAACTATTGGATCCTCCAGATACAATGTACTGCCACAGTGTACTGACTAGTGGGTGTATCCTGGCTGAGGGGATCGAGCATCAACATGCTGCCTTTCTGACCTCTCACCTATTGTACTTGTTCCTTAGTGAGAGTCATCCAGCTGCAGTGGTATGGATACTATGCTTAACTTGGCCTCAGGGCCCAGCAATGTACTCTCCATTCCTTCAATAAACTGACATAGAATATCTGTGACAGCTTCTGCCAGTTGGAACACTGGGTCTCATAATCAACAGATCTGACCTTTCTTACCGCCTTGTATGTACCTTGCCAACTAGCAAATAATTTTGCTACTGAGGAAGGTAACAGGACTGGGACTCACCGTCTGGGCTGGAGCTCCTGTGATTGCACCTTTCAGTCAAGCTTCTGCTGAACTTTCTGTAGGCTGCCTCAGGCCCAGGTGGCCATCACGCCAATGTCCCTAAAGTTCAGTACGTGGCTTATTATGGACCATGCTGAGCTACCCTGCTGTTCCCAGTGCTTCCTTACCCCTGGGGGTGCTGCCCATACAATAACTCAAATAGGAAGAAGCCTAGGGAGGCCTGTGGGACCCCTCCCAACAGCAAACAACGAAGGGGCTAGGAGCCTATGCTACTGGTGTGGCTCAGAAGCAATAAACTTATAGAGCATACGTTTTAAGGCTTTGTTAAAATGTTCTGCTAGACAATTGACCCTGGAGGTCCCTTCAAACTCTATGATTCTAATTAGCCTGGGGTAGTAAAATGAGGTCTTCAGGGGCTGTACCGTTAAGAATTTCCGAAATTCTTGCAGTACCTTTTCCATGAAGTTGGTTTCTTGATCAGTTAAGACGGGCTTGGGAAAGTCCACCCTTGAAAGTGTTTTGAGCAACTCATTAGCAATTGTTGTAGCCCCCTGTACCTTTCAGAGCCACCGCCTCTAGGTATCTGGTGGCATAATCATTGATTTCTCCAGTGGTCCTAACAGGACTGCAGCAACTCGTTCAAAGGGGTGCTGATGATTGGCATGGGGATCAGGGCCTGTCCAGGTTCAGCCTTTGGTTTTGTGAGCTAACATTCTGGGCATAAGGGGCAGCACCTTTGGGTAGTGTGGTGAGAATCTTCTTGAAGGCCAAATGGTCTGCAGCAGTGATAACATACACCAGGCTCAATAGTAGGCACTGTGGTTGAGGAACAAAGAGCCGAGTCCTCTTCTCACCTCTCTGATGGTTCCAAACCATTTGATAGACCAGGGTCTGTTCTGTCTCAAAGAATGGCCCTTGTGGCCAGGGCCATATAGCCTCTTCTTCTGTAGGAGCCCTGATGGTAATCCAGGCATGCCCTATTGTGGAATCTTCCAGTTGTTGTACCTTCCAAGTACTACATGGGTTGAGATCTAGGACAGGAGACTTAAAATAGGTTAGTGTTGGTAGTGTGCCCATTTTGAATCAGCACTGACTTGCATACATTACATGACTAGATTTGCCACCCATGGGCATTCTAGTGTTTAGGCATGAGGCAAACTGGTTTACACAACTACTGTAGGTACTTTTACTGACTGCAGCCAGGTCACCAAAAAAGGTCAATTTTATTTAAAATAAGACCTTCCATACGTCACGTGAATCTATTCAGCATATGCACTCCACTCTGTACTCCCAGGCACAGTTTGGTAGATTACAGCACAGGTTTTGCTGTGAGAACAGTGGGGTGGGACTGTGAAGGGTCGAAGAGGGAAGTCATCTTCTCAGCATCTTTGTGTACTACCTCTGCCTGTTCTCTGGTATGATGCAGCAGCAGGGAAACCTCTGAAGGCTTACTCTAAAGATGGAGGAAGAAAAAGCTTGAAGGCATTGCTGTAGAAAAAAGTGAAGGAAGCCTGTGTGTGAGTGTGTGTGTGTGTGTGTGAGAGAGAGAGAGAGATGCCCCAAGTGCACATATATTACACTTTGAGGTTTGGGGAGGAGCTTGTACTTCCCCTTGCTACTGCTTTCCTCACATTTTGGCACTGGAACTTCTTGCGTATGGGAGACATCTACTTTTCAGGTCCCCCCCTCCACAGCTGTCCCTTGTCCTTTTACTCTTTCACTTAAGGATCTTTTTTTCCCTCCTCCCCAGAAATGAGTGACATGGATTCATACAAGGTGGTGCTGGAGGGGCCACCACCATGGGGATTCCGGCTGCAGGGTGGCAAGGACTTCAACATGCCATTATCAATCTCCCGGGTAAGTAGCTAGTGGAAGCCCCTTTTCCAAGGGCCCCTTCCCTACCTTCTAAGACCCCATGTGCAAGGGTGCCGAGCAGGCACAGAACTCTATTATGCTGCACCACTTCCTTTGCAAGTATTTCTTTGTGCTTGGCTCTGCGCTGGTGTTGCTGTCATAAGAGAAAGGGCTCTGCCCAAGATGCTGCCAATCTTCCTGCTCTCGTGATGTTATGAAGGAGCTCTGAGCAATAGTCTGTTACTTGATATCAGGTTCTGGAGGCTCCCGCACTCTATTTTTGGATCCTGTGGTAGTGGCTCTTGCTGGTGGCTGGATGGAGATAGCTCTCCATAGGAAGGGATTGTGGCAATGTGAATACATGTTCCTGCTGTTCCAGATATGATGCCAGGGTGTGCAGCTTTACTAAATGGCAGCTTCCATAGGGCTGCAAGCTGGCTTTGACACTTTGTTGGCATAGGGTTCTCTTGGCACCTAATCAAACAGTGTCACTGTGGGTGATGCTTTCTTTAAAGTCTCTCTTTTGCATATTGAAGTGCTGTTGGTGAGTTTGGGAGATATGGGATTGCCTTCTGACTCAGTTTCTGGCTGAGGTCTTTATATTCCCCACCCTGGGTTTAGCAGTTGCTGGGAAAACCACCTGCAGTCTGTGCTACGGAACAGAGCGTGTGTGTCCAGGTCGAATCCCTAGGGTATGCTGGCACTTTCCATCTTCTCGATACCTTTTATCAGACCGGTAAGAACTGATTTCTTAAGCTTCTTATGTGGCAAGTGAGGCTTAATTCACTATTAGCATGGTGGTGTTTAAGCCATTCTCTCTAGGGGATGGTGGGGCTTCTCTGGTTGAAAGCTGTGAATTCACAGGGACGCTTCAGCATTGCCACTACATCAGCCTCCACTTCCAATCTATCATATGGAGGCCTCAGGATGATCCTGTCGTTCTTTAATGATAATTACTAAAATTACCCTACAGCTTTTCAGTCTTGCCGCTTCCCTTTCTTCTGTGCCGATATACACGTCAGCCTTATTTTCTGGGTCCAGAGGAGCTCCTTCTGTAGAGCCCAGGACTATAATTCCTGACCTGAAAGTGCCCTTCTAGGTTTGCTGGGTACTCATGAAGCTGTCAGTAGATGGCTTGCAGACAACTCCTCCTCTGCTTGGAATTGCCTTATAAGCCTTGGAATGCTGAGCGCAGCCGCCGCTGCTGACGCTTGCGGCCACTTGGCAGAGCAGACTGTTTTTCTATAAACGAGAAGCCCCAAGGGCTGGGGGAAGGCACCGTGAAGCCCCCCCCCGCTCCAAAGCCAGACATTCACACACACCCCACTCAAATGCCTTCCTAGTACTCCACAGGTTTTGCACCACCATCTCACCCCAGATGAGCCTTACTGGTTTCCTACCCCACTTCTTGCAGTGAGGAAGGGTCTATTTACAATCTTTGCTGCTCCATTCCTGCAAGGCTGTTCTTCCAGCCCTTCTCTGGGGAGGCTCTGCTTTCCTGCTTGGAGGGCTTTGTGCTGAGACAGCCTCTGCTGTTTGTTCAGGGGTTTTGTGTGTATGTGATTTTTCCCCCCTCCAAGTTTCTCTTGGCTCATGGCCAAATCTTAACAAAAGACCCTGCCTAGACAGGGGAGAGCCTATCTTGCAGAGAGACCCCAGCCAGTGCCTCCCGCCAGCATGCCAGACTAGAGCAGCAGCCCCCTTCCCCTTGTGCTAGCGTGCCATAGCCCATCCCTTGCAAGTTTGTATGAGAGTTCTTTTGTGGTCAGGCCTTGGGAACCCTTTCCTTCCTGTACTGTACATACCTAGTTATGTTTATCAGTGGGCATCATGGCTGAGTACAGCCAGTATTTGTTGCCTTGGCCGAGGCACTGCTGCTTGGGGAGTTGCAAGTGGCTACACCCGGCCTATACTTTGTGGTTTGCCTCTCTCCTCTGTGGCAAGTCTGCTAGCGTCAGTAGTAGCTCCAGTGAGAATGTTGTATGATGCTTGCTGCACTGACTGCGGAATGGGAGGCTAGCTAATCTGCCCTACAGGTTAGGATGCATTCGTTGCCATCACACTTTACTTTAGTATTGTTCTTTGCTGTCCGAGAACACATCTGAAGTTAGGATGCATTCGTTGCCACCACACTTCACCTTACTTTAGTTTTGTTCTTTGCTGTCCGAGAACACATCTGTATATTTCCCATAGGTATGTAATTTGTCTTCCTGGAATGCAGGCCTGGGAATTTACTTGCCGCTTTATGAGTGCAGCTCTCAAATGATCTAATATATTTTGTGGGAAGAGGGGTAAGCTTGAGGAAAGGATTGTGAAGTAGCACAGCTGATCTTCTTCTTAGATAATCTGTGGGCAGAAAATTAAGGTATATGCACACAAGGCTCAAAAAGCAAAAGATGTAGAAAACAGACTGATAGTGTAAGTGGAGGGATAGACCCATTGGGTTCAAGAGGGGACTGTGTAAGGTCCATGTGTGTGAAGTAAAATCTTGTGTCTCTTTAATAATGTGAAAGGTCCTGCATGGAAAGCAAACAGGAAGTTGAGTACAAATGGATCCTGTATGTGGTTGGGACTAGAGCCCTTCCAACACACACTCACACAGCAGCAGCAAACAGTAAAAAACAGAACACCCACACCCTTGGCCATATGTTCAGAAATGCCTGACTGAGTGCTGCTCTCAGATCTACCAGCGGGGTTGGCGTTAGAAGCCTCCAGTACACCATTTTGGAACCTGCAACACAGTCCCGGAAATGGTTGCCATAATCTTTAAATGCATGGATCCAAGTAAAGTTAACATCAACAAGAACTAGGGCGTTTTCCCTAGCTGCACCGGTATTATGGAATCAGCTCCCAAATGAAATTTCGAGCTCTGCGGGATCTTCAACAATTCCGTAGAGCGGTAAAGACCGAGCTGTTCCGGCAAGCGTTTTAATAGTCCGACCACACTGACCGTTCCACATAACTACTAGCACTTTATAACAGATGGCCGCCACATCTTAATCTTAAATTTAATAAGTTGTATTTTGATATTTTATCGATTGTATTGTTTTAGACTTGATATTCTATTAATTGTATACTGGTTTTTAACTATTGTAAGCCGCCCTGAGCCGCTTCGGCGGGAGGGCGGGGTAAAAGTCTAACAAATAAAAATATAAAATAAAATAAAGTAGTCTTAATCCTTAATTTTTTGGCAACAAACTAACCAAAATTATGTGGGCAGCTGCTGGTAAATATCTGTAAACCAGAGAAGAGTCTGGATGTTGTTTACAGTGGAGGGGATGGGTCTCCTGCTCCGTTAGGGTTCTGTCTTGCAGACTCAATATTGCCTGAGTGCCTAGTTTCCTTTCTTGGACTTTCTTGCAGTCAGTGGAAGAAACATGAAGAGCAGAAAACCAAACCATATACTGATCTCTTTC